GAAAGCAACATTCGTGATCTCTGATGAAAGCATAGATGAATATATGAATAAAGGTAGTATAATGAAGAATGATGATCGAAAAGAAAATGAATTTGTAGATATTAGGCGTATTAAAGATAAATTGACGGAGAATGATGGTGCTGGCGAAGAGAAAGAGAAATGTAGTGATAGAAAAGACAATAATGTTGTGAACATAAGGTGTGTAGTAAACGTATTGGAGGATAATGAGGCTGAGTTTGATTATAATGGGGGTGAAGCTGCAGATGGCAGAACAAATGAATCTGAAAAAGATTACCATGAAAGTAAAATTGAAAATAAAAAAGATGAACAAAAGGCATTTGTTCAATGTCAAAGCCTCGGGAAAATGAGGTGTGGTAATGAAACACGTGATCACAAGTGTGATGATAAGAATAAACGATGCATTGGATTAGGAGAAGCATCTATGAGTCACCCAAGCACAATACGAACATTGAATAGCATGTTAAAGGCTAAACGTAATGTGAATAATTTTGTAAGATTAAATGGTGTAAGCTGCCGAAGAGTGAAAACAAGTAGAAAAGTCGTGAATAATGTGTATACGAGTTTAGTTGAAGGTGCATTGTGAATCGACAATGCGAAAATTAAGGTAATGAATACCTTGAGATTTGAAAGTAATAAAAGTTTTGATAAAGGTGGTAATGATCCAAAAAAGCTGAACGTGTTATGTGTTGGTGAAAACGAAATTCAAAGGTTTAATCATAGCCCGATAGTATTTGAAAATGTTGGAAGGAAGAGATTTTTCAAACGACTATATTTAGACCATGTGATTGGGAATAATAGACTAGTTAGTGCAGTATTTGATAGTTGTTTTGAAGTGAGGAAACTTGGTGGGATAGATATGAGTTGTTGCAACTTCGGGACGAAGTTTCTGGGAATCTAGCTCCTGTTGTGCTGACGACCAACACCCCTTGTAACAGTATTGCTAGGGTTAGATATGATCACGAATTACCCGATCGTGATCGGGTACATGTTGATCGGTGATCTAATTAATGCGTAATATATCGGGTGATCACTATGTAATTAAAAAGTCTAAAATAGTGATTGCATGAACAATATAGTAATCAGAAGCGATTAGTATTGCATGAACGATGTAGTAATCATTAGCGATTAGTATTAATATATAAGGCATCAATCCAAATAGGGGAAATATCTAACTTTGGCTCTTTGAATTATTCTTAGTGAATAAACTGTTATCTGTGTGAGTACATTATCAGTGGTAGTATCTGGCATGATACTCCAGTCATCGTATATATTAGCCAAGCGAGTAAAGACAGGTAGTAAATATCAAGAAGTACACAGTAGTTTGGGTAACTCCATGACATGTATAAATTTATTATCATAAATTTTCACTGATTGAAAAATAAATTAATTCATTTCCAAATTTACGAATGATCCAATTCGATTAATAACCAATAAAAATTAGAAAGATGCAGAACATACATATCGATTACATTGTAATTTGAAATATATATATTTTCACACAGACTAAATACACTACAGCACTAAACATATTGGGCAAGTATTTAAATGAAAATTGGGAATATTGAATGTGCTAATATTTATAAAGTTAAAATTATAGTAGAAAACTATTCTATATAATGCATATGCATTTTATATATAGGGATATAGGGATATATCAGTATATAGAGTAGAAATTTGTGTGTAAATTTCTGATATGTAATTTTTGTTATGTAAATAATGTTTTCCAGAACTTTTATAGAGCTTGCACACAAAGTCTAATAATGCTGGCAAAATTTTTGTAATGCAGATCAATAATCATATACCACTACATTAATTAATATAAAGGTTATCATTATATATGTATGTATATATAATTTGAATCTATTATGCTGAAAAATAAATTAACTAGAATGGCCGAAAAATCATTCAGCAGATTTTTTATCAGGTGTTTTAGAAATTATGAAAACAGCTGTAAACCTGGATATATAATTATATCTGGATATATAACTATATCCAGATTAAATATATCCAGATTAAATATATCCAGATTACAGCTATTATCATTATTTCTAGAACACCTGAAGAATTTTCACATGACTAAAATATCCTCTGTTTCATTTGGTAAATTATCTAGCTCTCCGGAAATTATATAGCTGTCTTCGGACTGAATGTCTGGAAACAGCAATATAGTTTTGAGAAGTTAGACAATTTACTGAATGAAATAGAGGATATTTCAGTTATCTGAAAATTCTTCAGATGTCTCAGAAATAATGATAGTAGCTGTAATCTGAATTATATTTTTTTACAGTTGTTTTTCAGCTATTTTCATTATTTCTAGAAATCTATAAAAAAATTAACGAAAAATTTTTTGGCCAGTAATTTCTTCAGCATAATGAATTCAATAAAAATTGATATAATACTGTAATATATACGTAATTTAAAATCAGGTAGCTAATATAAATAAAAAATTATGCACATTTCTTGTTGAATTCAAAAAATATGATATTTTCAAACCACATTCGTTGGCAAATTATTGATCACTTCATAAAAGTCAGATAACTCAAAAGTATTTGCCATAGATGATAAAGATTTTAGAGAATCTTTAATTGTTAGATCTACTGTTTTGCTTTGATTGTGTTGATCATAATTTTTAGCACATTTTTGACACATAGTAATTAAGTCTTGATTTTTTGAAATCTCGACTTTAGTTGAATTTTTAGTCCAATTGACAAATTCTTGATCGTATCTAACTTTTTTGATACTAGCACCTATTCGTATATAATATTTACTATAAAAGCTAATTTGATATCTGGAGCCTTTTTTAGATTTCTTGTCAAGCTTTATTTGTTGACAAGAACAATCTTTTCTATAAACTTTCGCACAAATTAAACACACTAAACATATTGGACAAGCGTTCAAATGAAATTTTAATAATGTGGTATTATATTTATTATAGTAATTTTGAAATTGGAACAATGATGTAATTTAGATGTAGATATTATATCAATATTACAGTAAATAAAAATTGAACGAATTCAAAAATATATTTAATTTATGACATAGACATTATATCAATATTACAGTAAATTAAAATTGAACGAATTCAAAAATATAATTTTTTTTGAATTTATTGTGCCAAAAAAATTACTGCCTGAAAAATTTTCGGCTAATTTTTTTATAGGTGTCTCAGGAATAATGAAAACAGCTATCATAAATTCTGAGACACCTGATAGAAATTTGCTGAATAATTGTTCGACCTATTCGATTAAGTGTATATTTTTATATGTAAAATAATTTTATTATAAGGTAGATATGCACTAAAATCAGAAACATAGACAATGATATACTAAGAACGTAATAAAATGAAGTGTATAGTTTACAGACAAGTTGCTGTATTTAAAATCTCAAATTCTATTAGACAGCGTGATCATTGTATGTCCATCTCTTTTTAGTTATGCTTTTACCTGCCTTGACGATCACGTTATATAATTATTAAAATTCTGGTTAGATTAAATATTTATTCTTGATCTCATGATCCAGATCAAATTGATTTAACATCCTTATAGGTCTATATTGATTCACTGACAATCACTTCACTGACAGCTTATTTAGACAACATCATGCCAGGTGAAATTTAGTAAAAATATATACCTGCAACCAATGAAATGCTTAACTCTAACCCTATGTGATATCAGCTAAATGATCGGTTGGTGAAATGATTGTCAGTGAATCGAAGAGATCCCCTAAAATATAATGTCGATTTCAACAATTTCAACTTTTTTTAACTCTAGCTTATTCTTTTACTGACTATGTATAAATGCCAAGGTTGAACTTTGGATAAAGCAATGATCAACCTATCAAACACTAATACTTATAATAGCATATACATCATGCTTTCTAGAATATACAAATTAAATGATTTATTATTTTTATGCCCTTTGATGAATCTTTATTGAATATAAATTTACCACCTGTGTTTAATGCAAAAATCAAATATCTAGAAAAATTGAAAAACAAACAACAAAGCTAGATAAATAGCCAGATGAATACTATGATCAAAACAATACTAATTAACAAATTTTATATTTAATACAGATCTAAACTTTGGGATAACAAATCTGCAAAAATAATTTTTTTAAATAAATAAACTTATGCTATACAATTTAAAGTTGATTA